GAAATTGAAATCTGCAAAAGCGTTCACATTTTTCTGTCTGTCCCTTTCGTTCCTGACCTTTTTCTCTTGATCCCATCTGTGTTATGATATTCCTTGTTTGTTAATTCTGCTTCCAGTCCTTTCTCAACATAACTCAATTGTCTTTTCATTCATAGGCGATGAATACGCTCAATAAATCTCTGCTCTAGCGTGTCTTCCGTGGAGTGCGGTGAGACCAGGACGACTCCGCTGAGAGCTGAGGGGAGAGAGTCCGCAGCTCCTCTCTCCATCGCTGCCTGGTGCAAATCAAAATGCAATCCTCTCTGAAAGGCCAAGCATGTGCTCAAGTCATTTGAGGCTTTGAGAAGAACCTGGGAAAATACAACTCCCATTCACGTCTATAAATTTACAAACAAATAAAAAGTGTCCTGTCTCCAGTTCAAGGCTGCGTTTGGAGACAAGATGTGGTATAGGGAAAGCATTTGGAAAGGCTTCAAGTGTGTTAGTATGTACAAAGGCTGCAAAAATGGGGCAAAATATCCATCCATCCATCCATTTTCTACCCTTTAATCCATTTCTGGGTCAGGGGGGTGGCAGTCAGAGATGCCACCCAAGTCTCATAGCACCAGCCCCTCACTGACCCTCTGCAGGTGGTGAGTCCACAGGAGGACGGCTGCTCTCTGAGTGTGAGCATAGCCTTGATCTTTCAGTGGGGGCTTTGGGCAAAGTGGGGTTAAGTGTCTTGCCCAAGGACACAACGACAGAAGTCATCAGTGGGAGTTGATGGAGAAGGTGCAGAGGTGGGAATTGAACCCACAACCTTCTGGCCTTAAGACCAATGCTCTACCAACTGAGCTACTGTCGCCCCGGGGCAAAAATATTTTACTGGGGCAAAATATTTGATCAGAAATGTATGTGTATATGAACAACATTGTGACAAGAAAAAAAAACTTCTTTCAGTGTTTAGAAAAAAAAAATCTTACTAAATCAAGAATTAAACACAGACTTTCACAAAACTTTCTCCGAATCTTTAAGTACAATACAATAACATTTCTACAGGTGGAACTAAATTTACTTCTATTATCGTTACAATGTGAAACTAATATATTGGTTAGGGGCGACAGCAACTCATTTGGTAGAGCATTGGCCTTTGAGCCAGAGGGTCGTGAGTTCGAGCCCAACCTCCACCATCGACTCCCACTGATGTCTGCTGTCGTTGTGTCCTTGGCAAGACACTTAACCTCTGGGAACACCAGCCACAGTGGGGCGGCTGCGGCCGTCGAGTGCCAAACTGCCGTTGTGTCCTTAGGCAAGACATTTCACCCCCATTGCCTAGAATGAGTCTGGTGTGTGTGTGTGAATGGTTGGTGGTGGTCTGAGGGGCCGATGGCACATACTGGTTGCCTCGCTTCTGTCAGTGTGCCCCAGGGCAGCTGTGGCTACAGTAGTAGTTTATCACCACCGTGTATGGAGTGAAAGAATAATGACATGTAAAGAGTCTTTGAGTGTCCAGAAAAGCGCTATATAAAACCGATGCATTATTATTATTATTATTGGACTCATTACACTGAGAGATAAATCAGGTTATATTTTTGATAATTGGTTCAAAATCATTGATTTGCTAGTAAAATCTCCAACTAAAACATCTCAGAAAATTTGAACATTTTGAAAATGGGCTGTAAGCCATAATCATCACAATTACTTTGTCACTTGACAAGTAATAGGTCTATACTACAGTTTCACCTGCATTTCAAAAGACATACAGATTATTAAGGATGTAAAAGGAACCCAAGAATATTGTTCCAGATCTAATAGACCATGGATGTATTATATATCATCTTCGGACACATAAAAAGTAATAACGCATGCTGACCTCAACAGAGTATTGCACATGGAGGTGTTAAAGCGTATTGCACCGTTAGATTAGCTGTGTTTGTACGTCTGCATGTGCATCTGCTTAAACGCCGGCTGTGTCAGAAACAGATGCAAGTGTTTTGGATAAATGAAGCAGTGGGAATTTTCATGAGCTACATTAGACAAACAGCTGTGTTACAGGTGGACACACACACACACACACACACACACACAGACACACAAGTACACGGGCAAAAATACACATGCACACACAGACGCATACTCAGAGACATACACACATAAACGCACAAACTCACACATGCACATATGCGCACACACCAGGATACACGTATACACATAAACAAGGGCATGCACACGCGCACACACGCATGCACACATACACACCCACACACTCTCATACAAACACACGCACATTATGGTATAAATAGTATACATTTGAGTGAACATTCAATTTACAAAAAATGTTTTTAGAATTCACATTTTGAGAAACTTCTTTGAGCATACAGTCATATAATTTACAAATACCCATCACAGTCATCACTCACTTTTCAAACAAAAAATCTGATCTGCGTGATCCAAAAATATTAGATCATGCAGTTCAGGCAGGATGAATCATTTGAATATACAGATGTGTTAGCGTGTGTTTTTGATACTCCAATGACTAATGACTAAAGATGCATAGAAAACAGCTGCTCTAATCCATGTAGACCAAAATGAACATATTCAGTAAACATTATTCTGATTGGACCGTGAACTGAAAACACATTACAAATAATATATTTTAATGCAGATATTCAGTGCTCTCTCCAAGTATTCGCTCCAAAACAGCTGGTTTTGTTTTTTTCAGGGTTTTTTCTTGGTTTACAAAAGGATCTTGTGAAATAATTATCTAAAATCTAATTGGTTTGTTCATAGTGGTTGGTTTGACTGAGCAATATGGGTGAAGCATTTTGTCCTCAAACATATTGTAAACATACTGTACTCAGAGGCTGTTTAATTAATTACTGAGGCAGATACAGTATCAGCTAGAAAGTCCTGGGTATGATTCCACCTTACCCAGATTCCAGACAGGGCCTTTCTGAGAGGAGTTTGCATATTCTCCATTTGTCTGCATACTGTAGATATCTTACGGGTGCTCCAATATTCCCCACTGCTAAAACATGTACTCTCTGGGGCAAGAATTCTCCTAAAAAGATGTCTTTCCTGGTTAAAATACAGGTCGATTTGGTGCTTTGGGCTAAAACTTGACAAAAAATACATGCATAAAACAAGTTACATGGATTTTATTACAAAGTGTGGTTGTGGTATGAAAGTTGGGTACCCCAGCTTTAACTGTAATAGTTTATGAACTGTGTGATAAGGTGATCTTGGGCTCAGCAGTATGACATATTCAACATTAGATAACATTACTGTAGCTTAAACAAATTGTGAGTGAGGATTAACTTCCGGCCTGGACGTGCCTTTGCCGTTTCCTTTTTTCTTGCATTATCACTGCGCTGAGTAAACTGCGTCACCTTAATTTTCCTTTGTTTGAAGAAATACATCATTATAAAAGAAAGATGTACATGAAGCCAATTACGTTAACTCGTAGCCGTAATTTTAATGAAAACCAAGCCGTTTCCCCTCGAGTGAACAAACATGACAGGCACTGAGCAGAGGAGCCCTTTCTTCCACTTCTTGCCAAAATATTAAGTGACTACAGGTGCCGTAGGAATGTCTCTGAGGGAGGGAGCAAAGCTTGACCTTTCTCTCTCCCTCTCTGAGCCGATGCCAGACTTTATACGTGTGTTTATTTATGAATTTGCACATGTGTTTCCTCCAAACGCTAACTATTTTCACGCTCGCTTTGGTTGCACGGCAGAAGAGTGCACACCCAGGAGTTTGTCTAAGCAGCCGATGCTATAAGTGAGTAGAGCGGAAAAAAAAAACTGGAGTCAAAACAACAAGAAATATATTGTTGCATTATTCAGGAGAAACGGGCGGCTCTAAACGGCACCAGATGCAGAGGTCTTGGGACAGACCATGGAGCACCTTCAGAGTTCCAGAAAGGGATCCACAGAGGCCACACGGGGGACTGTTAACAATATCGTCTATGAAACCAACCTAAGTTTACTGCATTATCGACTTAATAGTTGCAAGTTCAGATCCCACTGCTTTTCAGATCCCACAGCTTCAGCTTTAGTTTTTCTCTCTAGGGAATTACCAAGACATTTATTCAGAGCCTTTACATGGACAGCAAGAAAAACAGATTATAGCAAATTTAAAATGGTCAAAATACTAGAAAACTGGAAACGTGGATGTGGATCAATCCAAAATTGTAGATTAAAAGCACAACTTTAGCCTTATTTCCAGGGCATGGGATAGTGTCAATGCAGGGCAGGCCAATATGGCAAAACAGTATTATTTTAACAACTTTAGTTTTTAATGAAAAAAACTCCATATTAAAATTTCAAATACATCACCCTCAAAAATGTTCACAAAAGTACAGACTCTGACATGTCAAATATAATTAATGTTGGGACTGTTTATTCCCTACATACACTCGCACTGCACAACTCAATTCATCCTGACTTTACGATTTTGAAATTTCTCTCATCTTCCATTTTTCCCGAAATTAAAGCAAATCTAAAGCAGCATAATGATGCGGGAGATTGTTGAACGTTACAATGGAGAATTTGTTTGTGCTGTAGCAATGGAAACACTGCTGTTTGGCCTGCTTTGTCATTGTGAATAATATGATTATTATTCGAGCCAACAGTGTGGTTATACATACTGCTTTCCAGAGGTGTGGACTCGAGTCATGTGACTTGGACTCGAGTCAGACTCGAGTCATGATTTTGATGACTTTAGACTCGACTTGACCAAATATAAAAAGACTTCCAACTCGACTTGGACTTTAAAATGACTCTGACTTTCACTTGGACTTGCGCCAATTGACTTGTAAAGACTTGCGTAACCCGGGCCATTTTTACCTTTCTCCGCATCTCTCTTTCTATCTATGCCGTCTCTGAAGAAACAAAGTCTCGCGGTAGTTGTAGCGCTCGCGAGAGAGTTCGAACGTGAGTTTCCCGCAGTTCGCGCAGCAACACTTCCCTAAACAAGCGCACTGCATTCACCGGTGGGTGTGTTGTCTAGGGGAGCTGGAAATGAGCGAGCTGCAGGTATTTATCGCGACCTAACGTCATACTTTGTTCTACAAACCGTAATTGAAATGCTTTCACTACAGGCGCCTCATACAATTGAATCGACGCAGTTGTCACACTGTGTGCCGTGTTTTAAAGAGGAACTGGTGAGTCAAACTAGCGCTAGCCTGCGCTGCTCTGTTGGCTCTTTCTTATATTTTTCTGTGTGGGCGCCGAGGCCTATTATTATGAGTATATTTTTGCTGTGCTCCTCCTGCTAAAGTTTGCATACATTAGATAGTTGTTTTGATTATGTGCACTAAGCTAGATTAATATTTGCACTATTGTTTATGGTGCATTGATATGAGAATCAGTGCTTTGACTGATTGAATTAATTTATATGAGACATTTTATTATGTAATGATATATTGGTAATTATGAGATATTGCTAATGCTGGTCCAGTTGATGGCGAGCTGCCCCAGGTCCAAAGCCTAGACCCCTCATACTACCCCTATTCTACAGTAGGACATTTGGAACAATAACCACTACGGACATTAAACTGATTATATAGATACAGGTCCTAGCCCAATACTCATATTCATATATGCTGCACTTGCTACTTCCCATTAAAAACCCCAAAGATAAAAAGTATGTTGACACGGACTGCTCTGTGTTTATGTGTGGTCTGTGCATGTGTAACTGAGCCTGCATCTGGCACAACATCCAATTAGATCACGTAGATAGTTTTGATTTATCAGCAGACAACGACATGGAACAAACTGTTAGTCCATGGGTCAGAGACCAACGAGAATGCACCAGCAAAATGATTCCTAACATTATTTTGTTTGCCTACAAAAGTACGTGGAGACCAACAAGAAACAAATCGCGGTCAAAAAGACTCGAGAGGACTCGAAAGTCAAACCGTAGGACTTGGGACTGACTTGAGATTTGTTGGCCTTTGACTTGGACTCGACTCGGGACTTGCCTGTCTTGACTCGTGACTTGACTCGGGACTTGAGGGCAATGAATTGAGACTGACTTGTGACTTGCTAAACAATGACTTTGTCCCACCTCTGCTGCTTTCATTTGCAATTACTCCCAATGTTAAATTACAAAAGGCTGTTTGCATCCATCCAACTTGACCTGAGGCGGCTGAATTTTGTTGTGCAGCACAGTCGTCCGTGTAAATGTGGTGAATGAGAAGAATCACTGTCATTTTATTTCCTTTACAGACAACGTGCAAAGTTAAAAACACATTTGAGTAATATTGGAATATTTGTTGCCAAAAAACTAGAAATAAGCCAACGCAACTTTTTCACATATAATCTCGATAATCGCAGACACACAATATAATTCCTTTGAGGGGATTGGAAATAGCATTTAACACATTACAAAATAGTGTTATTTCACAATTACTTATCCTTCGAGTAACAAGTTAAAAAGTAAAATCCTGTGAAGATCTAACTTATTCATTACCAGTCAATCCAACAGTTATCCCTGGATTAGGATCTATATTTTTTACTGGCATCCTTGAAAAAAACTCAATATGGTGAACAATTATTTATGTACTTGTCTTGGGGACTTTAGCAAATGTATTCCAATGGGGTTTTACTGCAAACGGCAAATATAATTAATCTGAATCTGGGCAATTTGTATTCTGAGTCCTGTGTCGTTTTCTTTGCTTGAATAAAATGACATATTAATTGTGTATCCAAACGAGTGTGCCTCTAGAGCCGCTGCCGTGGTCCGACCGATCCAGAACCCCTTTGGTCTTCGGTGAAACTGCAGTATTGGTCACATCTGCCTCTCACATTCCTGCTGAGTGGCTCTAGGTTTAGGCGTCTTGGCACAGCGCTGACGGGGAATTTTCCACCGGTCGACAGAGAGAGGGGCACACAGGCGCACCTTTGTCTCTGCCCACTCGCTGCCCTCCGCCTGCAGAACAGCTCATCGGGCACAGCTACTGCACAGTCAAAGAGTCAAGCGCGACAATAAACCGGTTTATACAGAACCAAACAGGCTCAGGTGACAGAGCTCCCATCCAGCTCCACCAACCCACTGCTGTTGTGCCAATGGGCAAGAGGCTTCTCGCTATAAAAATGTCAAACAGGGCTGAATGAATTTAGTTATGTCTGTGCTTTTATCTTAATGGAGGTCAAAAGGAGTAGCAAAAACAATATCGTTTTGGGGTGTAGAACTTAAAGTGAAGGTCAGTTACTTTTAACATTTTGAAGATTGAGAGACATTTTGAAATGCAAGCTTCAGGAGGACACCCCAGTTTTCTGATTTCACTTTGAATTGATCTATTACATTAAAACTAAACTTTAAAAATGACCTAATTGTGAACATTAGTTGCATCTCCAAAAAGTTGACTTGAACTTGTCCTGAAGGAGGCTAAAATGGAAATGTTCTTTGTTTGGTTATAACCCCCTAAAGAAATGGCTTTAAATGCATTTAATTCAACAGAGAATTTTCCATAAAATTGTTTTCATGTTTTACTTCCAAGGATTGACGCAGGTGATTCCACGTCCAGAAGGCTCAATATAAGATTGAGGAGCATAATAACGCCAACTTTCCATGATTTTAAAATGCCAATGTATACATTCTCAACTAAAGTCCCCAGCACAAATCCCAGAGAGTTGAGAGTTATTTTCCCATATCCCCACCGAGGTATTCCCTCACTGCCGCTTATTACCCGCTGGGACACAGGGAGGCCCCCTGGTGGTGGGGTAATTAAAGCACCATAGCTCAACCAAGCTGCAGTAACTCTCCCAAATCCAGAAAGAATGACCGGAGCTGTGGGTGCTCCTAATCCTGTTTGTGGCCATCGGGAACCACTCCAGTCCCAGCCGGAAGACGGGCAGGTTCAGAACCAGGACAATGGCACCACAGTGGGACAGCAGTGAGACCGGGGACAGGAGAGGGAGGGGACACCATCACATCCACACGCCCCTCGTTCCTGATTTGTTGGACACTTGGCATGGAACGTAAAGCAATATAATTTCGTTAAAAAAATAAAATAATGATCAATAGAACACATTTTAAACATTTGATCCATGCAAAACATTCTTGAGTTGACACCATGACATTTTCTACTCTTCAACATGACTTTGACATTGCAAAACTCTTGGAGGTGGAAGACCATTCTATTGGTTTTTGTCTCTTGATTCAATATATATGTTTAATGCCATATTGTAAAAGATTCTTGCCAAAGTACCAACATCTCTTTGTAAACTGTACAAGTATTGAGTCATTGTTTGTGAAGATGTCCTGTGGGATACAAACTTTCAAAGTGAAAAGCATGTGATTATATATTTGAATATAGTTACATGCAGTTTTATACAAGTAGAATTTTGTCCAAGAGTTGGCAGCAATTTTCAGCCAATTGCTTAAAACGATCCACTTCCACTATGTATGTAATCCAAATTATCCATACATTTCCACGTTTGACCTACAGATTACGCCTTTTGCCTTCACATTGAGAACATTTGTAGCCTCGCATGACCGGCTCTTTATCTGAATCAGTCGAGTTCATAAAACACTCTTGGCCTCAAATGGACAATAATCCTTGCCTTGGGAACACACGTTTTGGGAGAAAGGGGCGCAGTGGTAATCCGGCCCACAGGTCTCCTCTCTCCTCAGGGGGTGTCCGGCCGCCCCTCCTCAGACCCTCATGCCCCAGCATCAACCCAAAAAATCCAATTAGAAACCTTCATTAACAGACGCAGCGGGAGAGGTCCGAACAGCAGCTCAGGCCCGCAACACACACTTACACACGCACGTGTGCACACGCGCATTATACACACACACACACACACAAAAGGTGCACCTGTGAGTCGCCCCATAGTGAGGTGCAGACAGGAAAAGAGGCGTGGCCAAGGTTGACTCATTTGTGCCCAAAAACGCTCATGGTCTAATATAGAATTAGGTTGACTGGTGTTTTCCATGATGTTATGTCCCAGGTGCATAGACATGACTCCACATTCATTCAGGCAAATTTCAGCTGCTCTCATCCACCTGAAAACCTATTTCAAAGCTTCATAATTTCAATGTTCAATTTTTTTCTCATCTATTTAATTTAGTGTTTATTTGGTTGGGACAGTGCATGTTGTTCATTAACACACCTCTCTGGATTGTAGCCTCGTGATCATTTCCATCCTTTGTCCCACAGTCACACACACAAACAAACACTGATTCAACCTGAACTATTGTACTTTATTTTTTTAAGATAGGGGAGACCGGAGCACCTGGAGGAAACAAGAGCCCTATTGGTGAGATGTAAGTGCATGTGGTAAATGCATGTATTTATTATAGTTGCAAGAAGAGAGCTTGAGAAGTAATAGTAATAGTAATAGTCAGGAGAAAAAATGAACACAGAAATTCCACGATTTCCCATTTTACTTGAGTTTAGTTTAGTTTATTTGTTTTGAACATAATAGTTAAAGTGTATAAACACTTGACACAAGTTACAATCTACAACAAAAACAGTGCAACAGTATTGTTCAAATACTGATGCACTGTTTTGAATATCCAGCCATTTAAAGCTGGGGTTCTTACTATGTTTTTGTCAAATTATAATGCAATTTGTTTTTCACAACGGAAAGAATCTTTCAAAAGTAAGTATAATTATTGAAGAAATTAGTGAACTAAATATTGCACACTTGTAACAGCCCTTTGAGTCACTATTTGATATTTCTGTTGCTCTAAAGATGTTACAGTAACAGAGGAGGTTTGAGATTGAAAAAAGTAGTTTGATGGATTTTATTTGGGCTACTGTATTCGTCTTTCCCAAGGACACATCAGCAGCTTTAGGTGAGAGGTTTTATTAAACATCTCAGACTTAGACTTAATTGTTGAAAGTCTAAATTGTCATGGAGTTAGGTTCAACGTGCTGTAATCGTGCACTATGAGTCGATTCGAGTAGTTCATGCACTGCCATGAACCCAGAAATGTTGAGCTGACACAGGTCTATAATGTCCTGTCTTCACCTTCCGTCTCCAAATCTCCACATTCCTGAAAAAAACAGCAGAATCAACAGGCATGAAATTCATTTCTCACATGAACACATCTGCGCCTCCTAATCATAACCTGCACTGACATTTCAATCCCACTCTTCAGCGAGCGCATGGATTCTACTGTCTTCTTCAGCACCTCTCCCCTGGGCAGTGCCTACATCCACAAAAGTAGCAATTAACTATGTCAGCTATGATTACTGTAATGGATTTAAGGAAACTGGTGACCTGCTTCTACATGTGGACTAGTCTGGGGTGCATGCTTTGTAGACTGGCAGATTACGTCGTGGGTTCGAACCCACCTCAAGACTTTCACCATCAAATCCCACTGATGTCTGCTGTCGTTGTGTCCTTGGGCAAGACACTTAACCACTGGGAACACCTGATGCCACAGTGGGGCGGCTGCGGCTGTAAAGTGCCAAACTGCCGTTGTGTCCTTAGGCAAGACACTTCACCCCCATTGCCTAGAATGAGTCTGGTGTGTGTGAATGGTTGGTGGTGGTCTGAGGGGCCGATGGCGCATACTGGTTGCCTCGCTTCTGTCAGTGTGCCCCAGGACAGCTGTGGCTACAGTAGTAGTATCACCACCGTGTATGGAGTGAAAGAATAATGACATGTAAATCGTCTTTGAGTTTTCAAAAAAGCGCTATATAAAACCGATGCATTATTATTATTATTATTATTATTATTATGAATTTCAAAACTATGAATCTATGAGATGTCCAGAAAAAATCTAGTAATCAATCCAAGCAATCCAGGATGTGTGCCAATCATGGATGTAACTTGAAAACTACAACAGAATAGGCCATTTTTTACTTAAATCCCGATGAAACTTGAACATTGAGCATCATGGAACTATTTATGTGAAAACAAGTTTGCATTTTTGCCAATTGGAATTTGCAGTGTCCCTTTAGAGTGAGCCGCCTGGTGCCTTGCCTTTGGAGCAGGGTTGTGTCTACAGTGCTCCGGGAGCAATCGTTTTGGGTATTTTCATTGTTTTTCGTTTGTTTTCATTTTTTGTATTTTCTGGTGTCCGATAGCAGAGAAAACCCTCCAAACCATACTGTAGGTCCTACGGCAACCAAGAGACCACTGTGATGAAAAGTAAAGGCACCGTGCGGACCACTCTTAAACAACTGGGTCACTACAAGGTCAATAATGCAAATATATAGAAGTTTATAGAAGTTTTGGGAAAATTATTTAGATATAGCAAATTAGATTTAAAAAATGTATTTGCAAAAAAAGCTAGTGTAAAGTGTCAATGTGATTGTATGGCACAAATCTTGAATCATGATGGGAAATATTTTCTCAACTAAGTTTTATCAGGACTTTGAGCATGTTGTTCTAGACATCTTTTGTTACAATCTCCGGTGAAAAAAATACTATAATAATTTGTTCATTTATTTTGCCTGGACTATTGGGCCGGGACCTTGGAGGGGAGAGGCGGTACTGAACACGGGCGTCTCGGGCGTCTGGACTGAGTAATGGCTGGACAGTGATTAGGCTGCGAGGTGGAGGAGAGAAGTGTGGGGTTTGGGGGGTCCGGTTTGTCCCCCAGTGAGCAACAAACAGCCCAATTCATCATCCACGGCCAAGACTTGTACAGAAGTGATGAATGTGTAGAGTCAGGTAAATGACTGAATTAGAGTAATGGCTGATTACAGCAATTTGGCCCGACCAGTGCCAGAAATATTACATTCCAGGCCGCAGCAACTAACGGTTCAGGCTAATCCCAGATGTCTGAGCCTGTATGTGAGAGAGGGAGGGGAGAGTGCAGTAAGACTTAGAGGCAAACTACAAGAGCATTAGCACATTTTACATAAACAAGATTATTAATGTCTTCAAGCCTAGTCATCACTATAAACAAAATTTGTATGTATATTTTTAAAGACACATGTTAGGTCTGAACATGTAACTTTTCAAATTTAAAAAACAATGCATATTTAGCAAGGTCATTCAACACTACTGTATTACAGATCTGTAAATGTAACTTTATAATCCAAACTGGAAGTGAACTGTTTGTGCTCAATGCTGTGTTTTTATGGTGATGTCTGAGGCGGAGTGACATGGAACCTGTAATTTTACACACGGTTTGAACAACATTAATCAACGGTAGTTTGCATTGGAATCCTTACTGACCATTCGATAAATAACAATAAGGCATTGTGCAAATACAGTGCTTTTTGGACGCACAAAGACGCTACACATGGCAATATTCAATCAGTGTGTACACAGTGTTGGGAAACTACTGAGCCACAGGTGTCTTGGAGTAGACTGGCGGAAGCAGTCTTATCCGGATAGAAGATCAAATTGTAAGTGCTCTGTGCCAAAATAACAAGTTCCAATGCGCAGCTTGAAGCATTTTAGAATTATTTGTAAATAATGAAAGTGGAAATGATAAAGTATAATTGTCTTACAACATTCAGGAACAACACTCTTCCCTGCACTGTCCTTATTAGATTTATATTGGTTGACTCAGCTGATTGCACCTCCGGAGGAATTTATTTAGGATGCTTAGCTTGTATTTACAGAGCAGTCTTTGGGAGGGATTGCGCTGCTAAAATAACCGTCCACTTTTGATGACTCAAGTGAAATGTCGCACTTGTAAAAAAGCTGAGCTAATTAAAGCCAGTCGTTTTGATAAATAGTTGTCCTCTCCTTATGCCTCCCTATGCGTCCTCCCCTTTTCTGTTCTTCAGACCTCCCACGAAACCCTTACAGACACAAAACAGAGCGAAGCGGGTAAAATGGCTCAAAACACTCTGGGGAAGTCGAGGCACGAGTAGAAATCATTGCTTCTCAAAGGGTCAGAGCAAAGGAAACAAGAAAAAAGACTAGTTTTTGTAGTGGAGGATCAGTGTGAAGTAGGAGTCTCTCTCTCTTTCTCTTTCTCTCTCTAACTCTTTCTCTCTCACTCTCATAGGTTCCTACTCAGATGCTCCTTGTGTGGTCCGGAGCTCCGAGTCATTCCCAAACAATCGGCATTAATCCAGGCAGCGAGAGGCCTGGAGCACAGCGCTGCCAGAGGAGCTGATGTACAGTACTCCACACACACTGTGGCTAATCACCCTCAGTGCAACCACACACAGCCACACGGTCAATGTGGGAAACACTCTGCATATGAACATGGATGCAGAAATATCAGGGCAGATCATAATCAGAATGAGAATCAGAATTCTTTTATTGTCATGTGAGTAACAAGAAGTCACAAATTAGGAAATAGCTTTGGCTCTCAGTGCAAACAAGTTAAAGTCAAAGTAGAATAGAATAAGAGTAATTACTGTCTGAAATGTATTAAGAATCAGGTCATACTGTATAGTATATATATATATATATATATATATATATATATATATATATATACTATAGCAATTCTTCTATCCAGGTAAGTCACATCTATCCATAGTAAGGTCACATCTTGTGTCAGTTAAAATGTCCATCCATCCATTTTCTTCCCCTTAATCCATTTCTGGTTTCGGGGGGGGGGGGGGGGGGGGTGGCAGTCAGAGCCGCACCCAGTACACAGAGCACCAGCCCCAGGTGGTGAGTCCACAGGAGCCTTGATTTTTCAGCAGGGGCTTCAGGCAAAGTGGGGTTAAGTGGATACAAGGATACAACGACAGCAGTCATCAGTGGGAGTTGCAAAGTAGGTCTTATGGTGGGCTCGAACCCACGAGCTTCGGGCTCTAAGGCTCTAATGCTCTACCAACTGAGCCACTGTCGCCCAGTTAACATGTCAACATTGAAACATTGCATTTAAATAGTTTTCTTTATGATGATCCAGGACACTTTAGCATTCTACAACATGTGTGGACATTTTCTTCTGTGTGTGCTTTATATTTTTCATGTGTTTTAAATGTTGATTCTCTGACCTGTGTTGGTGATTTCAATGGTTTTGTTAAGTCCTCTGAGATGACTTCTGTTGTGACCTAGGGCTATACAAGAATAAATTGTATTGTATTGTATTGTATTGAGAATCAGCACCTCCAAATCCGAGGCCATGGTGCTCGACCGGAAAAAGGTGCCCTGCCCTCTTCAAGTGGGTGGAGAGGCCCTTCCTCAAGTGGAGGAGTTCAAGTATCTCGGGGTCTTGTTCACGAGTGAGGGAAGAATGGAGCGTGAGATTGACAGGCGGATCGGTGCAGCGTGCGCAGTGATGCGGTCGCTGTATCGGACCGTTGTGGTAAAGAGGGAGCTGAGCCGAAAGGCAAAGCTCTCGATTTACCGGTCAATCTTCGTTCCCTCCCTCACCTATGGTCATGAGCTTTGGGTAATGACCGAAAGAACGAGATCGCGGATACAAGCGGTCGAAATGAGCTTCCTCCGCAGAGTGGCTGGGCGCTCCCTCAGAGATAGGGTGAGGAGCTCAGTCACACGGGAGGAGCTCGGAGTAGAGCCGCTGCTTCTCCACGTCGAGAGGAACCAGTTGAGGTGGCTCGGGCATCTGTTCCGGATGCCTCCTGGACGCCTCCCTGGGGAGGTGTTCCGGGCACGTCCCACCGGGAGGAGGCCCCGCGGAAGACCTAGGACACGCTGGAGGGACTATGTCTCTCAGCTGGCCTGGGAACGCCTTGGGGTCCCCCCGGACGAGCTGGAGGAAGTGTGTGTGGATAGGGAAGTCTGGGCGTCTCTGCTTAGACTGCTGCCCCCGCGACCCGGCAACGGATAAAGCGGAAGAAAATGGATGGATGGATGGATGTATTGTATTGTGTATTTAGTGGTGTGGTGAGGTAATGTTTCACTGTGGCAAGTTCAAGTTGAGGTTTGAATTAAATTGTGAAAAACCCCTGGAATACTTCAGACATGAATAGTTAAGGCCTCATATCTGCATTCTTGAAACATATTGAATAACATCCTCACGCCTGCATTGTGGATGTTGTTTTAGCCCACTCGGCAGTAACAGACATCCTGCCAAAGGCAAAGCTATTCATGAGTTACTATGTGGCCGTTAGAGAAAGAATACACTTTGCATATTTATGGAGCTATCGGACTGTCTGTAAGTTATTGTCTCATCAGTTCATCCATATGACTTTGTTGATATGTGTAAACATCATTTCTTTCCTCCTTAGACTGTAGCAAAGGGAAAACGGTAAAAGAACGACAAGTTCCAGAATAGTATATATGTAATCTTAATTCCCCCGGGGTCTACACACTGGTGATGAAGTCGAACTGATGGTTTGAGATTAAATGCAGCCATGTTTAAACTGCTGAAAGAACGCAGCGGTGACGGGACAGTTTGATCAGGTGACCACTCAGTCAGCAGCGATATGAAGCGGAGGCTGCGAAGAGAGTGAACTGAACTGAATTGATTTGAAAATACATCATATCTTACAGTCAGAGTCACAGGGTGGAGGCACAGCCCAGAAATACTGTAGGTCCTCTGCATGGGTTGAATGCAGTAGACATATTTCACTACAGGGAAAATAAGGCTTACCTTACCCAAGGTAATCGTCCTTATGTAAGTGCAGCAACCCTCCAGAGCAGCCCTCTAGCATTCTCATTTATCAGCATGTGTGCAGTTGTTGTGACATCGTGATATTAGACATAAAAAAGGAGATAATATATATTTTTAAAAACACACAAAGATATTCTAGAACATGTTCAAATAAAATAAAAAAACAAATAGTATTTGAAAAGGAAAATGTATATTACAATCCATCTCTGAGTTGTAAACCTCTGACTTTGAATAGGCATTACTTTGGTGGACTTTTATTTTCACATAAACCTGGTTAAGCAGCCACTTTTAAGGCCAAGTCACAAGTAATTTTGACTCTGGTTAAGGGTCACAGTTGGAGTTACTTTAAGGCTTCAGGAAATGAAAGCATGCAATGGAAAAACTGTGTGTACGTGAACGGTCAGATATGTTATGTAGAGAAGCTTTACGTCAAGAAGCTTAAAAGTTTAAGAGACCAGGTGTACTTATAAAAACATATAATCCTAAACTAAAAGAAAACTTCTGCCACATGTCGTGACCAAAACTAATAAAGTGGACATGGGAACCGCAGGTTCAAGAGTCAGGTTTGGTGGAAAATAAGGCTGTGTTAAGTGTTAATGTTCCAAATAAATCAGGTGTAATTATTATTATTATGTGAAGTACTCGGCACACTGCAGTTTTTATTGCCTTCTGGCTTCATTAAAGCTGCAACACCTAACATTTATTTTTCCATAATCAATACATCGTGCTTGTCCCAACAGAAAAAGTCTAAAAAGTAAAATGTTGTGAACAAATCAGGCCCCAACATACTGTTTTCATCTTATTAGAAAACATGTTATTGTTGGCATACTGAAAAAGACCTTGTGAGTCAATATTTGAGGCATTTGGCCGGGAGCTGATTGAGGGTGGTCCTCTCTTATTCACTTTTGCGTCTGAAAAAGGTTTGTTGTTTGAAAGTTAGGTACCCCAGCTTTAAACAACTTGTATTAATAGTGTCGCTTTTCTAACTCTCCCCCTGTTATTTATGTTGTTACAGGCAATATAGCGGAGCCTCCTGCATTCAAAGCACTTGTACTTTTACTCATTTTTATGGTGCGTTTGTTTTGGACACATCACGTTTTCCCAGTTTTTCCTGTAGACTCAGTCCTACCTCCCCCACGTCCACTGCCAGAACACGCCCCGTTACGCCATAGGCCGGCTCAGCCCAAACCAAGTGCCAAGAATAAGACAAGCTGATGTGGGGGCCCCAAGGGGAGGGCCCGCGCTGCTGCTGCTGTCCCGCGCTCACGCTCCTCAGTCAGGCCACTTGGCTGTGTTTATTTAATATTCAGTCAGCTGTGGGGAGTGGGGTTAGCCACAGCTTATAAAATTCAGTCAGCATGACCAAGATACAACCCCCTCCCCCACTTTTCTGCAGCCACACGGCCGCAACTCGCGTACACGTACAGATGCAAAGAGATGGACACAACACAATTCACTTTTATGTCGACGACTTAAGTCCTTCAAAGTTGCAACAAGAACCACCAGAACACTGTGTCCAAATGACGTACTGGCATCTGGAAGAGGATAGAGTGCAACAGGTGTCAAAATTATATCAAATCCTTGCTGTCAAAAGGGCAGATGATTTGAAGCGTTCCCAGAAAGAAAAAAGTAAAATGAAAAGGAGGAATGTCCTATACAATTTTTTCCCGGCATCATAATTCAATAATATACTCAGTAAGCCATGAAGCTGTCTTTTCAAGTTACCCCCACTCTAGTCTGCACATCTACTGTGAAATAATTTCATTCCAGTTCAAATATGAGGAAGGTTTGAATTATGGAAACATTATTGGGTCTTTATTCAATTATGCTAAATAAATATTCCTCTAATATAACAGAGGAATATTGTGGTTTGACCGCTGAAGGGGAAAGTCATATGTGCCTACAGCGAAAAAGTGTCTACCTCAGCTTCAACTATATAGCTTGTATATCAGTATGTTTAGGGTCACATCAATACTTCCTGCTTCCCATTTTCATGTCATAATATTGATTTACCCACATTTGAAGCAATGATGTCCGAGATTATAGACGTTTCGATTATGTCACATGGTCATTTCTTTTTAAAACGATTGGATCCTACGTAAACTATCACACTTCTAGTTGTGCAGATCAAAGCAGGACTCAGGGATGTAAGGAGCTTATTCCACTGACTGCGTTTGAAGTGACAGGGCAGGGACGGAGCAGGAAGTCAAGGCCCAACAAGTTCAGAGGACCATGATGAATATGGATTTCAGTACAAGGAATAGAAACACGGACAGGGGGAGGGGTGGTGGCTTAATATTTCTCACAGAAGCCTATTTTCAGTCCAATCCCGCTGAGAGCAATCCCGGGATGCCTCTGTGTCCCTCGACAGGAAGGCTCCATGGCAACCTCTGGGGTCACAGGTCCAGGGGAAAGGTTGCTTTTATCTGCTAATGAGGTTGATACCTGGGGCTGTGTATGTCTCCGCTACTCTGTGGAAGCAGGGGGTAAGCGGGTCCCTCAATGTAGCCCACTGACACCGATGCCATCCTCACTCATCTCCACCGCGCTCTCAATGCAGGGGTGCGAGGGGCGACCCGGTATTAGTTTCTGCCTTGTAGGGAAGATAACAGACAGCTCAGAAATTGCTGTCACCCGGTCTGCCTCCTCATTGTGCAAAGCGTTCACATGCAAATGGGGCAATCGTCTCGCAGGACTGTAGCAGAAGGCATTCCCCATAACTTCACTTGAGCGTGTGTGATGGATGGCCCAAACGGCGAGGTGTGCGTGTGTGTGTGTGTGTGTGTGTGTGTGTGTGTGTGCGTGTGTGTGTGTGTGTGTGTGTGTGTGTGTGTGTGTGTGCGTGTGTGTGTAAAGCTACTGTTAGAGCTTCTTTCTGTACACAAATCTGCCGGGCTGAAAGAGCAATGACAGAAAAGTCAAACATATGCAATTAACACGGACTGTTTCCATTCACTCAAAGATTGGCTGCTTAAATAAATGTTAAACCGAGTTAATGTGATGCACTTTCTGCTTGTTGCTCAAACAAATGGGTTAATTGTGCTTTCATTTTTGCCAATAGTGCAATTAAATGAAAAAGGAGTTTTGATAAGAGCTTGGCTTTGAAGTATTCATCTTGACATGAGTGTTTTACTGGTTGAAATAAGAAAGTGTATTCTTGTATTCTTATTTCAAGAGTTTCACCTCAGTTTAAGTGGGTATAATGAGTACAGACCATTGTCAAGCGCTTTGGATGATCTTGGTCTATGAAATGTAAATAAATAAAGATTACTTACTTTTTCTTGAAAAATATTTTGAGACAAACAAATGTCAGGCTAATTCAGACGAGGGCTAAGAAGATGACAAAATAAACGTAACCCAGTGATGAACGTATCGAATACATTTTTACAATAGACAGCTATAAAATTACTCACAAAGAGCAAACATTTGCCAAGAGGCAGATCTAACTTCTGTTCTTTAAAAATATTTCAGACGATAATCTGGATCACCTCTAAAATCGAATTGGTTTTTTGTCCAATTCTCGATCTTTATTGAAAAAGTTGTAATAGCAAACCAAAAACTTATTTGTTATGTTGCTAACTAACAAACAGACAAACCCTGGTAATTACATTACCTTCTGGCTGAAGTAGCAATACTTAGATGAAGTCTCTCAGTATCGATCCTTGACCATATCAATTATAGATATTGTAATTAAACCATGCAATACAAAATTGATGAACAATAGTCTTCCAGCCCTTTGTGGTTTGTATTATTCTTCTGAGTTTCGTCACACCTTATTGAAACTCAAACACTGATTTAATTACAGTGACTGCCAGGTTCTAGCTTCTTATACACACAAATCTGTTTCTGTGACAAGCTTGTGACAAAAGAGTCAAACACATTTAATGAACACGTACCTTCGTAATACTGACACTAAGACGGGGTTTGCTTTGACTTAATGACTTTTAAAACAAATGTTAGCAGAAGGAGGCAAGCCAATGCAACTCACGCACACTTCCCTTGCCAGTCAGAGTGAATGGAGGTTGGAAGGCGCACCTCGCCCGCTCTCACACCGCTGTACACTGCTACACACGCCCCCTGTCATGTTCGCAGCACTGCAAAAGAAGTCCATTAACTCTGATTTAGTGGCAGTGTCATGCGGTCCCCTTTTGTGAGGTGGTGACATCCAGTGAATGGAAATCAGAATGGGCTCCACTCCTCCTCCTCCTCCGTCTTGCCGGCTCTTGGCTCCGCGCTCAGGACAAGGGCGCAGGGTGGGTGCGCGGCCGCAGTGGGACAGGGGGTTGGTGGGACGTGTCTCCGAGTGGCAGGACTCTTTGTGCGGAGGCCAGCCTGTTTGTTTAGCCTTTCCCATACAGAGCAGCCTCACATATCACAGCCTCAAACTGATCAGCACTGACACCTTCACAGCACCAAGTGTGTACTGGAATGTTGGCTGAATGTTGTTATTTTAAAGCAAGATGTATTAAGGAGCTAGTTTTCAAGATTCACTTTTATCATAGTCAAATTATCACACAACTTTTCTATTGCTGGACAGGAGTTACAAAGTGCAGGTGAAATTTGATTAATTAGAATATTGGTTAAAACTGTTTTCCGTATTTCAACTTACCATATAAAACTATGGTGAAGATTGAATGCTTTGTATAAGATGTCTCCTGGTGTTCATGTTTCTCTCCTTTTGTCGACTTTTATTCGCACTTATAATTACATTTTACATAAATTAAATTGAGGTTAGGATGAGACTATATGAACCATCCAGGGCTGAAAGAGTGTGCCAGTCAAATACAGTTTTATAGACATTCCTCTGAGTGACATGTGCCTGTTAACGGTAAACACACTCCTCATGTTTCCACAGAAGAGCAAATACAACACATGATCCAAAATATGTTTCATTTTCTAACCCTGGACAGGAATGTAATCTCAATAGATCCAGAGGCGTATGTAGACAGATACAGTATATGTCATCCATTAAATGAACTATTACTGTCATAAAAGGTCACATGCTGTGAAGAGGAAAATGTGTCAAACATTTTAGAAACAATTAGAGCAGCTGGAAGATTGAACTCTTGCTGTTTTAGGGAGATTTTAGAGGTAGAATTGGAAAAAGAGAAATCTTGTTGAAACATATATTGAAGTGTTTGTGTTTCCAAATGGCCCAGAGTCATTCGGGAGGATGGATTTACATTTCAAACTCAAAAATGTTCCTCCATCTTACATTAAATCAAAGATGCATTAGTTTGTCGACAGGCGTGCTCAGGTCATGGCAGAGCAGCCTCTTACAGCAGCTGTCGGACATTGGTATCGATACCTCGGGCTGCACGCTTTTTCTGATTCATTTTTAAAAACACAATACATTTTTTTATTGTAAGAATACATTGCCGAATGTAGTTCTGTAGTTCAAGCTGTTTTTATTTTGTATTTTTATCATGTGTTTGTGTTATTGCCAATGGTATTTGGAACAAACAAAACACAAAATTAAATCTGTTTTCCACCCCAGGGATTACAGGTGGAAATTACCTCTTGAGCTGTAGCCTGGTACAATGCATCTCTCCCTTTGAGGTTAATGTTTATTGTGCACTGACCCTGTCACCTTAAATAAACTCAACTAATCAACTTTCCTTAATTTAATTTATTTTATATTATCTATTATCTTTGTATGCAGGCACTTGTGCACAGGCAAAATGTTTGGCCAAAAATTACGATGATTATTTTTTCCATTGTGATTATGCATACAGTACGTATCAAGGGTAAACAATGCCATCCATCTGCAATTCCCTTTGTTACCACCAGAGGGAAGGGTGGAATGTGTGTGTGTTTTTATTTTTTTATAAATATGAAATCACCGGCTGCCAACCTCGCCACGCATTTGTAAAGATTGTCATTTCAGCTGAGAAATTGGCAAAACACACATAACTTCTGAGTGTGATGTCATAGTGGTACGATGACATCACACTGAGACAGGAGAATTTAAAAGGGGCGGAGTTACATGTTTGTGCCAGCTCCTAAATTAGTGTGGCTGGATCTAAAAGCAACTCCAGGTCTGTTTTTGATGAGGGAACAGGGAACATTTATCTTTCAATGAATAGCTGTCTTTACCATTTGCTGTATTTGATTGTAATTAATCATGCAGCCCTATAACTGTTTCCTTTTCCAAGCTGTGTCCAGGCCCAAGGTGATCCATGTCCAGGAAGCAGGGGGTCAGCCGGGTCAGGCCTGATAGTTGTAGCCTCTCCACAAGGAAAACAAAATAAGCAAATATTTACGCCAACAGGAAGAGTCCACTAATGACGTTTAAGTGACACTCTGTCAGTCAGGGATATTTATGTGCAGCTGAGAGCAGAGAAGTGTAACCAAGATTGTGGAGACTCCAACTTTAGAAATAACTCTTCTTACCACAGATACAGAACATTATAATATGGAAAATGTAAAACTTGAATGAATGCTTAAACATGTTTAATGAATAAAACATGTTCATCCTTGTTTTTGTACATTTTCTCTGTCTAGAAGCCTTCACGATACTGTATGTCTATTATGTGTGTGTATATTGTTCAATTGTGTTATTACGTTTTTTTATGCATGCCCTAATATATCTATATATCTATATTATTTCTTATTGCATCATAAATACCAAAGAAAATTTCCTGAATGTGACCATGGCAATACAATATTCCAATTTGTCATCCCTTACTTGTTTAAAACTGTACTTGAAAGCCTGAATAAAGAATATATATTTTAAAAATATATATTCTTATATAAATATATATAAGGTGGCAGTCCCCCCTGGACTGCCACCTTAACGTGGTGGGGGAGTTTGAGTACTCTGATGATCCTGGGAGCTATGCTGTCTGGGGCTTCATGCCCCTGGTAGGGTCTCCCATGGCAGACAGGTCTCAGGTGACGAGTCAGACGAAGAGCAGTCAGAAGCCAACATGGACAGCACGAAAAGAAGAACCGTGACGTCGCCCGGCATGGCGCAGCCGGGGCCCCACCCTGGAGCCAGGCCTGGGGTCGGGGCTCGAATGCGAGCGCCTGGTGGCCGGGCCTTAGCCCACGGGGCCCGGCCGGGACGACGTGGGCAGTCCCTCCTGTGGGCCCACCACCCGCAGAGGGGTCCGTGGCGGCTCGGTGCAGAGAGGACTGGGCAGCAGTCGAAGGGCGGAGACCTCGGCGACCCAGTCCGCACACCCAACATCTGGCTCTTGGGACGTGGAACGTCACCTCACTGGGGGGGAAGGAGCCCGAGCTCGTGGGGGAGGTCGAGCGATACCGACTAGAGATAGTCGGCCTCACCTCCACACACAGCTTGGGCTCTGGAACCCAACTCCTTGAGAGGGGTTGGACGCTCCACTTTTCTGGTGTTTCTCGCGGGGAGAGGCGGCGAGCTGGGGTGGCCATACTCATTGCCCCCCATCTCAGCCGCCACGTGTTGGAGTTCTCCCCGGTGAATGAGAGGGTCGCGTCCCTCCGCCTTCGGGTGGGGGACAAGTCTCTCACTGTTGTGACGGCCTACGGGCCTCAACAGCAGTGCAGAGTACTCGGCCTTCTTGGAGTCCTTGGGAGGGTTACTGGACGGTGCACCGCCCGGGGACTCCGTCATTCTCCTGGGGGACTTTAACGCCCATGTGGGAAGCGCCAGTGACACTTGGAGAGGGGTGATCGGGAAGAATGGCCCCCCTGATCTGAACCCGAGTGGTGTTCAGTTGTTGGACTTCTGTGCTAGTCACGGTTTGTCCATCACGAACACCATGTTTGAGCACAAGGGTGTCCACCAGTGCACGTGGCACCAGGACACCCTAGGCCGGAGGTCAATGATCGACTTTGTTGTCGTATCATCTGACCTTCGGCCGCGTGTTTCGGACACTCGGGTAAAGAGAGGGGCGGAGCTGTCAACCGATCACCACCTGGTCGTGAGTTGGATCCGCTGGCAGGGGAAGAAGCCGGTCAGACCTGGCAGACCCAAGCGTGTAGTGAGGGTCTGCTGGGAACGTCTCGCTGAGACCCCTGTCAGACGGACTTTCAACTCACACCTCCGGGAGAGCTTCTCCCAGGTCCCGGCGGAGGAGGGGGATATTGAGTCTGAGTGGACCATGTTCTCTTCCTCTATCGCCGATGCGGCGGCTCGTAGCTGTGGTCGCAAGGTCTCTGGTGCTGGTCCCGGCGGCAACCCCCGAACCCGGTGGTGGACACCGGCAGTAAGGGATGCCGTCAGGCTGAAGAAGGAGTCCTATCGAGCCATGATGGTTCGGGGGACTCCTGAGGCAGCTGTCCAGTACCGGCAGGCCAAGCGTGCCGCGGCCCGGGCTGTTGCAGAGGCAAAAACCCGGGACTGGGAGGAATTCGGAGAGTCCATGGAGCATGACTATCGGTCGGCCTCGAAGAGATTCTGGCAAACTGTCCGGCGCCTCAGGAGGGGGAAGCAGTTCTTTGCCAACACCGTGTACGGTGCGGGGGGTGAGCTGCTGACCTCGACCGGGGATATTGTCGGACGGTGGAAGGAATACTTTGAGGTTCTCCTCAATCCCCCCCGTCACGTCCTCCGCTCCGGAGGCAGAGGCTGAGGATGTTGGGGCGGATACTTCTGTCACCCTGGCAGAGGTCACCAAGGTGGTTGGCAGCCTCCTTGGTGGCAAGGCGCCGGGAGTGGATGAGATCCGTCCTGACTATCTAAAGTCTCTGGATGTTGTAGGACTGTCTTGGCTGACACGTCTCTGCAACATCGCGTGGCGATCGGGGGCGGTGCCAATGGAGTGGCCGACCGGGGTGGTGGTCCCTCTCTACAAGAAGGGGGACCGGAGGGTGTGTTCCAATTATCGTGGGATCACACTCCTCAGCCTCCCTGGTAAGGTCTACTCCAAGGTACTGGAGAGGAGGCTACGGCCGATGGTCGAATCTCGGATTCAGGAGGAGCAGTGTGGTTTTCGTCCCGGCCGTGGAACACTGGACCAGCTCTACACTCTCCATCGGATACTCGAGGGTTCATGGGAGTTCGCCCAACCTGTCCACATGTGCTTTGTGGATTTGGAGAAGGCGTTCGACCGTGTTCCCCGGGGTGTCCTTTGGGGGGTCCTCCGTGAGTACGGGGTCCGGGTTCCTCTGCTGAGGGCCGTCCGGTCCCTGTATGACCGGAGCCAGAGCTGTGTTCGCATTGCCGGCAGTAAGTCAGACCTGTTCCCGGTGCATGTTGGCCTCCGCCAGGGCTGCCCTTTGTCACCGATTCTGTTCACTGTATTCATGGACAGAATTTCTAGGCGCAGCCAAGGGTCGGAGGGGGTCCGGTTCGGGGACCACAGGATTTCATCTCTGCTGTTTGCAGACGATGTTGTCCTGTTGGCTCCAACGAACCAGGACCTACAACATGCACTGGGACGGTTTGCAGCCGAGTGTGAAGCGGCTGGGATGAGAATCAGCACCTCCAAATCTGAGGCCATGGTGCTCGACCGGAAAAAGGTGCCTTGCCCTCTCCGGGTGGGAGGAGAGGCCCTTCCTCAAGTGGAGGAGTTCAAGTATCTCGGGGTCTTGTTCACGAGTGAGGGAAGGATGGAGCGTGAGATTGACAGGCGGATCGGTGCAGCGTGCGCAGTGATGCGATCGCTGTATCGGACCGTTGTGGTAAAGAGGGAGCTGAGCCGAAAGGCAAAGCTCTCAATTCACCGGTCAATCTTCGTCCCCTCCCTCACCTATGGTCATGAGCTTTGGGTAATGACCGAAAGAACAAGATCGCGGATACAAGCGGTCGAAATGAGCTTCCTCCGCAGAGTGGCTGGGCGCTCCCTTAGAGATAGGGTGAGGAGCTCAGTCACACGGGAGGAGCTCGGAGTAGAACCGCTGCTACTCCACGTCGAGAGGAACCAGTTGAGGTGGCTCGGGCATCTGTTCAGGATGCCTCCTGGACGCCTCCCTGGGGAGGTGTTCCGGGCATGTCCCACCGGGAGGAGGCCCCGGGGAAGACCCAGGACACGCTGGAGGGACTATGTCTCTCAGCTGGCCTGGGAACGCCTTGGAGTCCCCCCGGACGAGCTGGAGGAGGTGTGTGTGGATAGGGAAGTCTGGGCGTCTCTGCTTAGACTGCTGCCCCCGCGACCCGGCAACGGATGAAGCGGAAGAAAATGGATGGATGGATGGATATTTTAAAAAATAAAACAGATTAATCTACAATGATAGCCCTAGAAACACACAAATATAATAATGGATTTTTAGTTATATATACTGTATATAGGCACATGATCACTAAGTATATCATCTTTCTATGATGGACTAAAAAGATGGACTAAAAACAAGGTCAAATATGCAGACATTATTTGGAAAGACTAGTGACATTTCATGCAATTATGTTTGTGTACATAGGTAATAGGCCCTTCCTCTTGTGTTTCTTCACAGACTGTATTTGTCATGGATTAAACATGAAAGCTTTAGAGGGCTTTTTGAATCTTATAACTAAATGCAGCATGTAGGAATGTTCTTGCACTAACTCCAAGCCCGTTAATGTTGCTTGGCTTCCCTCCAGCCATGTTAGATCAAGCATAATAACTGGTGAGTTTATGGACCTTTGCTCCCCAAATGTCTACCATGTTGCTAATTGCATACATCTGTGGTTTGTGTTTTGATGTTTTGTCTGAATGTGCAGCTGTCCATTTGCTTTCCAACAGCCTCTGGTTAAAAGTGGCATGTCCGAGTGCTATCAGTGCCCAGGCTTTTAATAGCGGTCATTTCAATGGGTTTTATTGTGCACCTGGGGGCCTTCACTTTGATAATCTGAAAAGTTATCCACCAGCTTGTTCAACGAAAGGATTTGCAGAGTAAACACATTAATGACACATTGGCAGCATATGTGATGCAAAAATACAATCATAAAAAGTTAATTGGAGGCTGTGTATCTAAATATGTATGGCTGTTGTATTCTTTGGGTAAATTTGGACATCCGCTTTTTTTTAATGAAATAATGTCAGAATGTACATTGTGGTCCACATATGTCACTTTACTGACTCACAGATGCATATACACAACTATATAGTACTTGCACTAGAAAATACAGCATTTTATACTTTTATACTCCTTATTATGCTACAGTCAGAGAATTTGTATATACAGTTATTCTTAGTTCTTCATCGTGCGAAATTGGAGATTTTAAGACTCCTTTCCTTATCATGCTAAAGATAGGGATTTCATACTGCTTCTTATCTTTCTGGAGAAAGAGATTTTATTTTATTTTATTTCATT